GCGCGTCGCCACGAGCGTCGCGACGACGACGACGACGACGCGCGCGAGTCTCCCGAGGACGCGCGCGGGCGCCGGCGCGCGATCGGCGTCGGCGGCGCGACGACCGCGCGCGCGACGCCGATCCGCCCCGGGGCCTCATCGTCATCTCGTCGTCCTCGGCACCGCGGCTACGAAGTCGTCGTCGTCGTCTTCCTCGTCGTCGTCCTCCACCGCGTCGCCGACGCCGAGCGCGTTCGCGTGCCCGCTCTGCGCGGCGCCGATGACGCGCGTCGTCCCAACGTCCGCGTCCGACGACGGCGGCGGGAATGGCGGCGGGTCCACGACGCTTCGATGCGCGAGCGGGCACGCGCACGACGTCTCGAGAGACGGCCACGTGCATCTGCTGCGGACGAGCGCGCGCGGGAAGCGCGCGACGGGTGATACGCCCGCGATGCTCCGCGCGCGGGGGAGGTTCCTTCGCGCGGGGCACTACGAGCGCGCGTCGGACGCGGTGTGCAAGATCGTCGCGGCGGAGGTGGCGAGGGCGAACGACGCGCGCAGAGCCGCCATGGCGGCGGCGGCGGCGGAATTTAACAACGACGACGCCGCCGCGGACGACCCGACGCCTTCGACGCCTTCGACGCCGCGGCAGCGCCGCCTCGCGGCGAACAAAAACAAATCCCGCGCGGCCAAGACGCTGCGGCGCGAGCGGGCCGCGTCTCGGTCTCGCGTCGCGTCGCCGCCGCCGCCGCTCGTCGTCGACGTCGGCTGCGGCGAAGGGTACTGGCTGGACCGCGTCGTCCGCGCGCTCGGACGCGGCGGCGGCGACGCGGCCACGGCGAGCTTCGCCGCGCTGGACGCGTCGCCGGACGCGGCGAGGATGGCGTCCAAGGCGCTGCGGCGAGCGACGACGCTCGAGGGCGAGGACGACGACGACGCGCCGCGCGCGGAGATCGCCGTCGCCGACGCGCAAGACCGGCTGCCGTTCGCGACCGCGTCCGTCGCCGTCGCCCTCAGCGTCTTCGCGCCGCGTCGCCCGCGCGAGCTCCTGCGCGTCATCGCCGCGGACGGCGCGTGCGTCGTCGTGTCCCCGGGCGCGAGCCACCTCGCGGAGGCGCGGCGGTCGGAGACGCTGAGAGCCGCGGGGATCAGGATTTTGGACGTCGCGGACGGGAAGCGCGAGAGGGTGACGGCGACGATGACCGACGCGGGGTTCGTGGAGGAGCGCGGCGTCGACGTCGACGGCGTCGCGCGGCTGAGCGTGGACGACTGCGTCGATCTCGTCGGCATGGGGCCGAGCGCGTTTCATCAGAGCGACGGCGGGGGGGAGGAGAGGTTGCGCGCTGCGTTGACCGCGTGGTTCGACGGGGAGGGCGGCGGCGGTGGGGGTGGGGGTGTGACGATGGACGTGAGCACGTCGTTCATCGTGCAGGTGTTTCGCAGGGGGGAGTACGTGGAGGAGGGTGAGGATGATGATGAGGAGGGTGTGGATGAGGTAGATGCGTAGCGTTCGATGATCCGTCTACGCGTTCACGCGTCGTTCCGTTGGCGCTTTCTGAGGTTGGCGTAAGGCGGGTGGCACTTCGGACACCCGGTGGGTTTGAAACTCTTCGTGCGGGAGGCCACCGTCGCTTTCCACGTATGACCGCACTCCGCGATGCTGCACTTCCACTTCGCCTTGTAGTTCGATCCTCTCATCACATCGGTGGGCTTCTTGTCGTTGTCGTCGCACCACTCGAGTCGAAGTTTTTCCCCGAGCTGCCCGTTCTCTTCGCACCACGTGAGGAAGTTGTCGGTCGCGGTGGCATGCTTTATCGCGCCTCCGGAGACCTTGCATTCCGGGCAACCAGTCGGATGGATGTTTTTACCTGTAGTGCGACTGCGCACCTCGGTTCGCCATTCGGTACGGCAAAGGACGCACCTCCACAGCGCCTTGTAGTTCGACCCATACGAAACCTGCCCAACCTTCCGTTGCTTGTCCTTGTACTCAAGGAGCAGCCTCGTCCCGTGCTCGCCGTTCTCGTCGCACCACTCGACGAGCGGCTTACCTTTGTTATTACCCCGCTTCTTCTTCGGCATGACGCCACGACGCGCCAGGGGAAGTGGCGGCGCGAGCGGGGAGAGCGAGAGAGAGAGAGAGCTACGACTTCCCTCGGAGCGTCCGACAGGTCAAAGTTGCGACAGTTTGGGCCGGCTGCGCCTGGCCGCTCTACTCACAGTTTCGAGCCTGCCTCGCCTGCCTCCCCCACCCTCCCCCAGAGCGACGCGCGCGTCGTGGAAATCGCGACGTCACCCCCCCCCGCGCGCAATCACCCGCCCCGTCCCACGCCTTCGTCGCCGCCGCGAGACGCGGATGCGAGGGCGCTGAGCGAGGGACGGAGGGATCTGCGATAGGCGGGGAGAAGATCGGAGGTGCCCAATAATAGCCGGGACGAACGACAGACGGCGCGCGAGACGCGGTCGTCGCTCGCCATGAGAGACGAGAACACCGCGTGGGACGCGCCGCATCGCGCGCGCGCGAGCAGCGCGCGATCGTCCACGTCGCGCGCGACCGCGTTCGCGACCGCGGGAGGAGGAGGGGCGACGACGACGACGACGATGGGTCCGGGGGGCCCGCGCTCGCCCGGGATGAAGACCGTCGCGACGAGAGAGTTTCGGTTCGATTTCGACGACGCGCGGAGAGGCGTCCCCGGCGTCCCCGGCGACCGCGCGTCCGCGACCGCGCGCGCGCGCGCGCTGTCCGCGATCGGGACGCGAGCGCAGGTGCGCCCTGGGCGTCGACGCGACGGCGCGCGTCGCGCGCGCGCCGCGCGCGTCCCCGCGCTCGACTCGGTCAACGGAAAACATTATATCCCGTCCAACCGTCGCCCGTCCCGTCTCGTCTCGTTTCCCTCCGCCGCCGCCGACCTTCCCCCCCCCGCCCCCTCCCCGTTCGCGCCAGCGACCGCTGCGACCGGTCTCCGGCGCGCCCGCGCGCCAGGCCGCGCCGCCGCCGCCGTTCATCCCCGCGAAGGGCGAGAGCTTCGTCGGGCGGCCGGTCAGCGCGGTGTCCGCGCGGCGACCGGCGGCGTCGGAGTTGCTGAAAAATCACGCGGCGGCGCGGCGGCCGGATTCGTCGCGGAGCGCTCGCGCGGCGTCGATGGCGATGGCGGGGCACCCGGTCGTCGTCGGCGTGTCCAGACCCGCGTCGCACGCCGCGATGGGAGGAGGAGGCGGCGGCGGCACCGGACGGAGCGTCGCGTCGGCGGCGGCGGCGGCGGCGGCGCGCCGCCCCGAGTCGGCGGAGCGTCCGACGCGCGGCGGCGGCGGCGCCGCGGCGGCGACGGCGGCGTCCGACGCGCGGTACCAGGACATGCTCGCGGCGTCGAGAGCGCGACGCGAGGCCGCGGCGATCGTCGCGGAGACGCGCGCGAGGTCGCCGCCGGTGAAGGCGCCCGCGCCGCCGCGGAGGATGCCGGCGGCGGTCGCGCCGACGCCGACGAGCGCGGGGCTGAGGACGGCGACGGCGACGGCGACGAACCGCCTCGAAGCGCGCGAACGCGGGTGGAACTCGCCGTCGGTCGCGCCCGCGCGGAGCCGCGCGCGCGCGGCGAGCGCGCGCGCGTCAATCGGCGGCGTCGGCGAGGGCGTGATTCGGTCGGGAAGCGCGGCGTCGGCGTCGGCGGCGCCGGCGCGGCCGTCGTCGGCGGCGCGCGCGTCGTTGTCGTCGACGTTGTCGTCGACCGCCGCGGGTTCGAGACCGGCGGTGGGCAACGCGCAGACGACGGAGCAGACCGCCGCGGATAAGGACGCGGTCGCGCGGCTGGACTACCGCTCGCCGGCGTCGCCTCCGAAGGACCCGTCGCCGAGGAAGCCGCCGCCGACGTCGCCGCCGACGTCGATCGGATCCTCCGCCGCCGCCGCCGCCGCGCACGCGGCGGCGATCGACGCCGCGAAACGCTACCGCGAACAAGCGATGATCTGCTCGGGCGTGCAAAAGTACGTCGACCCGGACCCGAGAGCGGTGACGTGGGCGCCGTCGCCGGGGAGGCTGGCGCGGCCGCCCGTCGCGGCGCGAATCGCCTCGGCGTCGGCGTCGGGCGGGGGGACGCGGCGGACGAGCGCGGCGGAGATCGCGCGCGAACGGAGGATGGACCCCTCCTCCGAGTTCGATCCGTACGGATACGACGACGAGGACGATGAGGAGGAGGACGAGACGTTCAAGAAGATCGCGACGAGCGGCGCGAAGGCGACGCGCGGACGCGACGCTCGGGCGTCCAAATCCGCGGCGCCGAGCCGACCCCTCTTCGCGGCGCGCCCCGCGCCCGCGGCCGCGCCTGCGGTCCCGGCCGCGGCGGATCATCCCACCGAGCACCCCTCGCGCCGCGTCCAGAGCGCGTCCGCGACGAAGAACAGGAACAGCGCCTCCTGGGCGGCCGGCGGCGCGACGCGAGCGCTGCCGGTCATGGACCTCGGCGACGTCAACGACGGCGGGCAACTCCCAGGGTACCTCCTCGGCGCCGTGGTGGGCGAGGGCGGGTTTTGTAAAGTCCGCGCGGGGATCCACCAGGTGACGGGCGCGAAGACCGCGGTCAAGCTGATCGACAAGACGAAGCTGACGGACGTGAACGATCGGAAGCGCGTCGGTCGAGAGATTCGCGTCTTGAAGCGGCTCACGCACGAGTCCATCATTCGGTTGTTCGACGTCGTGGACGGCATCGACAAGGTGCGTTCTATACACTGGTCCCCATACGACGCCGTTCGCGTGGTGAACGCGATTCCTTAAGGACTTTGCCCGTCGTGTCTCTCCGCCCATCCCTCGCTTTCAATCCCCGCCCTCGACGCCTTTCAACTCCACCTGACGCCTTTCAACTCCACCCCGCCATCGCTTTGTATGGAACGACCCTAAGATGTTCGTCGTGATGGAATACGCCGACGGCGGCTCCCTCCTCGATCACGTCCGCGCGCGGAAGCGCCTCTCCGAGCGCGAATCCGCGCGGATGTTTCGCCAGATGTGCGCGGGGTTGATGTACTGCCACGCGAACGGCGTCGTGCACCGGGACGTCAAGCTCGAGAACGTGCTCCTCGACGCGAACGCGAACGTGAAGATCATCGACTTTGGGCTCTCCGCGGTGCTCACCCCGGGGCGGCGGCTGAGAGGTGCGCGCTTTCTCACGCCGGTCCCCACACGACCGCGTTCGCGCGGTGCACGCCGATCCTTGACGACTTCGCCCGCGCGCGTTGCTCTCCGCCCACCCCTCGATGGTTTCAATCCCGACACGCCTCGACGACGCCTTTCAACTCCGCTTCTGACGCCTTTGATGAACCCCGCCCGCCCCGTTAAAAGTGCACTGCGGCTCACCGTCGTACGCCGCGCCGGAGATCGTCGCTCGCAGGGAGTACGACGGCCCGCCGGTGGACGTGTGGAGCGCCGGCGTCGTGCTCTTCGCGATGGTGACCGGGTACCTGCCGTTCCACGCGCCGAAAGGGGAGAAGCAGGAGCTGTGCCGGAAGATCATGAAGGGCGCGTTTACGACGCCGGAATCCTGCGCGAGGGACTTTCGCGACCTCGTCGCGAATATTCTGCGAGTAGACCCCGCGAAGCGCGCGACGTTCGCGCAGGTGCTGGAGAGCAAGTGGATGCGCGCGCACGCGAGCGCGAGTCCGGGCGGCGCGGGCGGCACCCTGGGTGCCGACAGGGTGCCGCACGGGGGTGCCGACGACCCCGCCGCGCCGCGGCGGTACCCCGCGCGCGTCGGCGGCGGTACAGCTGGCGCCGCCGCGTTGGACGAATCGCGCGTCGCGTCGCTCGCCGCCGCGGGTCTGGACCGCGACGGTGCGTTATATACACTGGTCCCCATACGACCGCGTTCGCGTGGTGAACGCCGATCCTTAAGGACTTTTCCCGGCGCTTCTCTCCGCCCATCCCTCGCTTTCAATCCCCGCCCTCGGTGCCTTTCAACTCCACCTGACGCCTTTCAACTCCACCCCGACATCGCTTTGTATGGAACGGCCCTCAAGCCCTCGTGACGCACCTCGCGGACGCGGACCACAACTATTACACCGCGGCGTATCACCTGCTCGCGTACCGAGAGCACGCGGCGGGGGTTTGCGGCGGCGGGGAGAGAGAGGCGGCGAGCGCGAGAGCCGCCGCGGCGGGGCTGGGCGCGAGAGGTCGCAGGTCCGGGTCGTCGTCGGCGGCGGCGTCGCGGGCGCGCGGCGGCGGCGGCGGTCCCTCGGTCGCGGCGGCGAGAGCGGGGGGCGCGGGCGGGGGGGGCGCGACGCGGCCGTCGTCCGTGCCGCTGGGGATGGCGAGGCCGCGGCCGGTGTCCACGGCGAGGCCGGGCACGGGGCGGTTTCGGACGTGAGGGACGAGTCGTCTGGCGGTAGACGAAAAATAGGCGCGCGCTCGGCGCTCATCGTTGGTGCGATTTATTCTCGTCAGTTCGACAACGACGCGCCTCGCCACTTCCCCGCGCGTCGACGTCGGGCGCGCGGGTCGTCATGGGCGACGACGACCCGTTCGTCGTCGTCCCGAAGCCCGAGCCGCGTTCGCCTCCTTCGGTGCGCGTCGCGGCCGAAGATTCGGTCGCGTCCAGCCCGCGTCGACGACCGTCGTCGTCGGCGTCGGCGTCGCTCTCTCCTTCGATTCGAATCTCGTTCGCGCGACGCCGCTTGCGATCTCGTCGTCGTCTCACGTCCCCGTCCCCGTCCGTCCGTCCGCGCCCGCCTCTCTCGCAGTCCAAGGTTGTCGTCGTCTCGAAGTTCTTCGCGAAGTCGTCCCCGACGCCGTCGCCGTCGACGGGACCGAAGCCCCACGCGCGGTCGCTGACGCGCCGGCAGAAGATCTCCAAGGCGACGAATCTCCCAGACGCGGCGAAGGAGGCGGAGAGCGCGCTTCTCGAGTTCGTGGACGCCGCGAAGAAGAAGAGCGACTACAAAGAGCACGAGGAGACCGCGGAGTCGGTGTTGATTCCGTTCCGAGCGTTCGTGCGCGCGCGAGCGTCCGCGGCGGAGGCGGAAGCGAGCGGCGACGTCCTGTGTTTGGACGTCGCCCCGGTCGTCGGCGGCGGCGGCGGCGAAGACGACGACGACGAAAACGACGAAAACGAAAACACGACGCGCGCGACGCGCGCGCTCCTCGCGCGCGCGAAAGACTCCGACCGCCCCGGCGCGAGAGAGGCTGGCCGCGTCCTCGCCGCGACGATCGCGGAGCTCGACCGTCTGCACGTGAACGCGAGCTGCAGGGTGCGGCAGAGGGCGCCCGAGGTGGCGCGCGCGAGGGCTCGACTCGTCGCGTTGCGTCGAGAGGCGCGAGACGCGTTCAAGGCGTTGGACCCTCGCGGTCTGGCGTCCATTCGCGCGTCCGCGGCGAGGGCGAAGACGTCGCTGCCCGCGGCGAGGGACGCGGAGCTTTTCGCGAGGTACCCGCCCGCGGGATCGATGGACGAGCTTCGGTCGCGGTGCGCGACGATGGCGGCGACGGGGTCGCCGCACCACCTGTGCCTGCACTTGTGTTACTACCGGGAGTACGACGCGGCGAGGCAGCTGTTCGTGCTGCGGACGCGGCTCGCCGCCGCGGTCGGGAGCGCGAGCGCGCTGGACGGGTGGAGAGCGGAGCTGCGGTGCGCGACGAGAGAGGACTGGGGCGGGGGGACGCCGAAGAAGAAGACGCGGCCGCGGAGGAGGAGGACGAAGAAGCCGACGAAGCGAAGAAAGAAAAACGGACGCGACGACGACGACGACGACGACGACGACGGCGACGACGTCGGCGGCGGCGACGACGACGAAGAGAACGAGACCGAAGACGAAGCGCCCGAAGACAATCGCGAAGATGACCCGCGCGGCGCGAAGAGCCCCGGACGCACGACCGGCGGGTGGCTCAGCGCGAAATCGCTCCCGTGGCGCGTCGTCTACGTCTCCCCCAGCGGCGAGACGTTCGACTCGGCGTCGGACGCGTTGACCTTCCTCGGCGTGGACGCGAACAAGGCGCCGCCCGCGGCGCACAACGCCGCGGGAGGCGGCGGGCTCGGGAACGAGACGCTGGACGACTTCGAGTGGAGGGACGACGACGACGGCGGCGGCGGCGGCGGCGCGGCGCGGCGCGACGCGCGTATCGGCGGCGCGAGGGCGAGAGGCCAAGTCGCGCCGCCGCCGCGCGTCGTCGACAACAACGTGTCGTGGCCGCGCGCGTCGCACGGCGGCAGCGGCGTGCGGCTCGCGCGGCCGGAGACGCGCGGGCTCGACGACGCGACAGACCTTCTTCGCGCGGCGCTGTGGCCGGAGGCGCGCGACGAGGACGTCGGGACGGAGCCGGTGCGCGCGCGTTTGCGCGCGGCGAGGGAGGGCGCGCCGCGGAGCCCGGTTCGACTCGCGCCGGATCCGTTCTCAACGGGGGGAGACGACGGAACGTCGATCGACGCGCCGCGATCCCTCGCCGTCGCCGTCGTCGGGCCGACGGACGCCGCCAGAGACGGCGCGCACGACCCGACGAGCGGCGACGCTTCTCCCTCCGCGGCGGGGACGGGGAAGCGGTGGTGGGCGCCGCCGCGGTCGCCGTTTGGGCTCCTCGAGGAAATTTTATTCGAGGACGAGTGGAAGCTTCTCACCGCGTGCATGTTGTTGAACTGCACGACGCGGTTGCAGGTGGACCGCGCGCTGTGGCGGCTGTTTTTGTTAGCTCCCACGCCTGAGGAAGCGGTCAGGCTAGGGAGAGACGGAGGAGAAGGAGGCGGAGGAGGAGGAGACGACCAATACGACGCGGGCGGGGACGGCGCCGCGGTGGCCGTCGACGCACAGCTGTGCGCGCGACGACCGAAGCGGAGGACCGGGTTGGACGCGATCGAGGACGTGCTCGCGCCGTTGGGGCTGCATCGCAAGCGCGCGAGGGCGTTCGTTCGACTGTCTGAGGACTACCTCGCGGCGACGAGACCGCGCGGGGAGGCGCTCGAAGCGAACGGCGGCGGCGGCGGCGGCGACGGAGGGCTTTTTTCGACGCGGACGAAGCTCGCGGCGCCCGCGGCGTCGCTCCACGGCGTCGGCGCGTACGCCTCGGACGCGCACGCGATGTTCTGCGACGGTCTGATGGGCGTCGCGCCTCGCGATCACGCGCTGAGGTGGTGGTACGCGTGGGCGGTGGAGCGGAGAGAGAGCGGGCGTCGACGGCGGTCGGACGCCGGCGACGGAGAAGCGTCGTCGTGAGGTGGCTCCAGTCTCGCGTCGTCCGCGTCGATAGAGTTGTAATTTAGCCGAACGAACGACGACGACGACCACCACCACTCGACGCCGCGCGGGCCCCGGCGGGAAGGATGGACTTCCGCGGGCAGCCCGGCCCGTTCGGGCAGCCGGTGTTCCTCCCCCCCGGGAGCTTCGGCGTCCCCCCCGTCCATCACGTCGGGCTGACCGCGGAGGGGATCCGAGGCGGAACGTCGTTCGAACAAAACCTTCACGCGATCGGCCCTCTGAACCCCCTCGGACTCGTCGCGACCGGCCCGGGCGCCGGCGTCGACGCGCGCGCGACGACCTCTACCGCGAGAGACGCGAGAAGGGACGGCGGCGCGAATGGTCCGCGACCGAAGGTGATGTGCGAGCACCCCGGATGCGGCAAGGTGTTCGCGTGGTCGCAGGATCTCGCGAAACACGTCAAGAAGATTCACAACCGCGAGGCGCCCAAGTTTCACTGCGCGCACGAGGGGTGCGGGAAGGCGTTCCACGAGAAGAAACTCCTGACCGCGCACACGCGCACGCACACGGACGAGCGGCCGTTCGCGTGCCCTCACCCCGGGTGCGACAAGGCGTTCAGAGCGAGGAACGCGCTGGCGTATCACAGAAAAGCGCTCCACGAGAGCGGCGACGTCTTGCGGTGCGACGCGCCCGGGTGTAAGGCGCGTCCCGTTATCACACTGGTCCCCATACGACCGCGTCGGCGTGGTGAACGCCGTTCCTCAAGGACGGACTTTTGCTGGCGTGTCTCTCCGCCCGCCCGTCGCTCGGTTTCAATCCCGACACACCTCGACGCCTTTCAACTCCGCTTCTGACGCCTTTGAACTCCGCCCCGACGTTCGCTCGTATGGAAACAAACGCGCCTCAGTTCACGACGAAGAAGAGAGACGCGCTCGACGCGCACGCGGCGCAGCACGAGGTTCGGAACGTCGCGAAGGCGCACAAAGCGGCGCAGAGAGGCGAGGTCTTGGCCGCGGTGAAGCTCGCGAAGGACGAGCTGAGAGGGAAGACGGACGAGTTGAACCGCGTGAACAGGGCGCTGGCGACGGAGCGAAAAGCGCGTGAAAAGACGGCGAAGAGAGTGGAGGCGGCCAAGCTGACGCGCGAGAAGCTGAGGCGCGTTCTGTCTCACACTGGTCCCCATACGACCGCGTCGTCCGCGTGGTGCACGCCGTTCCTCGAGGACGGACTTTTCTTCCCGGCGTTTGTTTCTCCCCGCCCGCCCCTCGCTTTCAATCCCGACACACCTCGACGCCTTTCAACTCCGTCTGACGCCTTTGAACTCCACCCCGATGTTCGCTTCGTACGGACCCTCGACCCTCAGACGCAAAGCCGCGGAGGTGGCCGCCGCGCTGGAGGGGACCAGGGTCGAGCTCGGCGAGGGCGGCGGCGCGGTCGAAGACGCGTCCCGGCGTAAGCGCGCGAAGACCGCGGCGACGCGGCCGGCGACGGCGGCGGCGGCGGGCCGCGCCGCCGCCGCCGCCGCCGACGTCGCGTCGGCGCCGCCGGAGGTGCTGTACGTCGACGGCGCGCGCGGCGAGAAGACGCCGATGCTGTGCGTCGACGGCCCCGCGGCGCTTCGCGCGGCGAGCGACGACGCGATGGCGGCGATGGACGCCGCGGGAGCCGCGGGGGTGGTCCCGGTCCCGGTCCCGGTCGCGGTCCCGGTCCCGCCCGTACCGATCGTCGTCGTCGGCGGTCGGCGGACGCGGCCGGTGTGCGCGCAGGCGTTGCCTTGGGCGCGAGGGTTCATCGGATGCCCTGGTATCGCGTGCGACGCGTCGCACGACTTCACGTCGCTGTTCGACCACGACGGCGCGAGAGCGTGCGGGAACCGAAAGTCCACGCCGCTGGAGGTGGATAACCCGAAGGACGCGACGCACTTTCGAGCGCGGAGCGCGGAGTGCCCGTGGAGCCGGAGGAGGGTGCAGCGGACGCTCGAACGCGCGAGCGATCCCGTGACGCTGCGCGCGTTGCTCGACGAGTTCGCGCCTCGGGCGAAGGCGGTGAAGAAAAAGCACGTGGACGGGCAGTGCTCGAGCTGCTACAGCGCGCACATGACGCTCATACGGAGCATGGACGCGCGGAAGAAGTTGGCGACGTCGCGGCGCGGCGGGGGAGGGCGGGGGAACGACGGGGAGGGCGACGCGCGCGCGGCGAGCGGAGTCGACGTCGGGTAGACGACTAGCACGTGTACGACTACAACGTACTGCCGAAATGACACGCACACGCGGAGGCATCGACTCGCGCGACCATGGGCGAAAGCGCGGAGGGAGAAGCCTCCCTCGGCGCCGACCGGCGACGGCGGCTCATCTTTTCACGCGCAGTTGCGCGTGAAAATTGCGTTTTTTTTATTTTCGTGACGCGAACAGAAGTTTTTCTCCGAAACCGTCACTCCTCACCGCGCCCACCCACGCGGACATCACACGCATCCAATCCAACAATCATGGCGATTCTCGGAATGACCACCGTCCGCGCGCTGCAGGTCCACACGCTCGTCAGCGCTGTATTCACCGCGCCGTTCTTCGTGAAGGGCGCCGCGGAATTCGGCTCGATGCTCGTCGACGGCGCGGTGACGCCGAAATCGATCGCGAGCAACCCTCTCCTCTTGCACTTGTTCCACGTCGACGCGGTGAAGAACATCTTCATCACCGCGATGTGCTACTTCGCCTCGAAGTTTAACATCGCGGAGCGACGCAGGGTGTGCCAGCTCATGATGGCGATGATGCTGATGCTCTTGCCGATCTTCAAGATCGCGCCCGCGACGACGAGCGGGCCGCCGATTCCGCCGCCCGCCATCGCGTACATCGGCGTCACGAGCGTTTGCTACGCGCTCGCGCTCGCGGGGAAGGAGAAGAAGACGCGCGCGAAGAGGGCGTAATTTAAGAACACGCGCGATGGGAATATTTATACATGAAAGCGCTCGGAGGAAGGACACGACGAAGAGCGCTCGATCGATGCGGCTGAGGGGTCACAACAAAGCATCGGAGATTTACTTTTCTAAACCATAAAAAAAGAAGTAACCGTCCCCCCGTCCGTCTTCCGCGCGTCGCCGTTCCCTCGCTATGCACTCGCGTCGTCTCGCCTCGATCGCGATCTGTCGTCGTTCACTCTTCGTCCCGTCCCCGCGCGACGTCGAGAACGAGAGCGCCGTCGCCTCTTCGCGAGTCGATTCGACCGTACCCGGAAATCCAAAAACGCGAACCGGCGCTCGCGCGATCTCATCGGCCGCTCGATCGGGTCTCGCGCCACGCGGCGCACGCGCACGCGCAGTGCTAACTGCGGTCCGGTCCCGACCTCGATCGCACTCCTCGCGGCGCGGGACACCGCGAGGGTCACGATGCGCGGCGGGTCGAGCCGGCGCGCGCTCGTCGCGGCGGCGACGCGCGCGCGCGGCCCCGCGCCGCGCCCGGGATGGACCGCGGCGGCGCCCGCGGCCTCGACCGCGACCGCGCGATCGTGGCTGCTGCGCGAGGCGAGGCGGCGCGCGTCGTCGTCGTCGTCGTCGTCGTCCGCGGACCGCGACGGCGGCGGCCGACGATCGCGCCGCCCGTGCTACGGCGGCGACGAGACCCTCCAGCTCGGCCTCCCGTTCGAGCTCACGGCCGAGGACGCGCGGAGAGCGCTGCAGCGCTGGGCCGGGTGCGTCGTCGCGTCCCTCCGCGAACCGCCGACGCGCGACATCAGAGTGCCCATCTCGCGACGAACCCTTCCCGTCCCGTCCTCACCCCTCCCACCTCCGCCAAAACCCACCCCGCCGCCGCCGCGCGCAGACAAAAACCGCTCCGCCCGCACCGCCTGCGCGACGGCGCGAGCCCCGTCCCCACGCTGACGCCGACGCTTCTCCCGCACTGGGTCTTCGACGTCTCCGTGAGCGTGCGGTACAAGGCGTCGGCGGGATTCGACGCGGGCGGCGGGAAGACGGAGTGGGTGCCGATCACGACGTGGAAGGACGGCGGGACGACGCGGTACGGGAGCGACGCGGCGGAGACGCAGATATGCGCGAGCTTCAGGCACAGGAGAGATCTGTTGCGAGCGGTGACGGGCGCGCACGTGGGGGCGTTCCCGCCGTCGAAGTCGTCGTCGTCTTCGTCGTCATCGTCGTCTTCGTCGTCGTCGTCTTCGGACGCGGCGGTGCGTTTGCAGCCGATGCCGGACGCGAAACGCGCGGCGCTCGACGCCGCGCGGACGGGCGCGGGACCGCCCGGGAGCGTCGTCGTCGAGCGTTACGGAATAAAACGCTCGCTCGCGTGGGAGCTCGCCGGCCGAAGGATCCGGGAGACGGAGCGCGCCAAGGCGAAGAAACTGGTGTTGGCGTCGCACAAGTGTCAGGCGCGTCCCACACACTGGTTCCCATACGACCGCGTCGGCGTGGTGAACACCGATCCTTAAGGACTTTTCCCGGCGTGTCTCTCCGCCCACCCTTCGGTTTCAATCCCGACACACCTCGACGCCTTTCAACTCCGCTTCTGACGCCTTTGAACTCCACCCCGACGTTCGCTCGTATGGAACGACCCTCAGGACGTGAAAGACATCGTCCTCGACGTCGAGCTGCACCCCGGACGCAAGGTCCGCGCGGTCAGACTCCCCGCGTACGTCGCGACGTTCACGCACGACGTCGAGATGGACGACGACGGGAAGATCGTCGACTCGAAACACGCGGCGATCGTCTGCGGCGCGACGGGCGCGGTGAGAGTCTCGGACGACGTTCTCTGCCGCGATAAAGCGCGTCTGCTCTCCGTGCTCGCCGTCTCCGTCCCCGCCGGGATCGCGAGCTTCGTCGCGGGCGCGGACGTCGGCGTCCTCGCCGCGCAGACGCTGATGGCGTCCGCGGCCGCCGCGGGACTCGCCGGGATCTTCGCGCGGCAGGTCCCGCGGCTCAGACGCGAGAAGGAGGAGAGCGAGCGGCTCGTCGACGAAGAGCGCGCGTTTGCCGCGGCGACGCGACACGGCGGCGCGAACGTCGACGCGGCGTGGATGGACGAGCCGACGCAGCAGCGACGCGACGACGTCGAGTGGGGGCGGTGGAAGGAGACGGATAAGACGAACTGGGACGAGCACAAGCGAGAGGAGTGGGCGGCGTCGATTTGGGCGTGGCAGCGGATTCGACGACGCGAGCGCGACGAGCGCCGCGAGCGGTTGCTGCTCAACCGCGCGCGCGCGGACGAGGCAGAGCGCCGGGACGAGGAGAAAGAGCGCCGCTGGGGACCGGAGTGGAGGAAGGAGAATCCCGATGGCGGGGGTAAACACGGACGCGGTAAGGGGTTCGGTCTCCGCGGCGGGAGGGACCGCGACCGCGACGGGTTTTACGAGGCGCTCGGACTGCAGTCGAAGCTCTCGAGCGCCACCGCGGAGGAAATAAAGGCGAGCTACCGACGAGAGGCGATGGAGTGGCACCCGGACAAGCACCAGGGCGAGGCTGCGAAGAAGCGCGCGGCGAAGAACTTTAGGAAGTTGCAGACGGCGTATAAGACGCTGTCGGACGCGAATTCGCGGCGGGTGTACGACGGACTGTGACGTACGGTGGACCGGGTAGTGATAGACGAGAAGCGACAGTCAGTAGTTTTTTATCGGTCGACCTCGGCTCTCTTTCGCTTCGTAGCAGCCCCGTCCCCGCCGCGCGCGTCTTCTCCCCCCGCGTCCTCCGGGACGTTGCACCGCGGGCAGCGCGTCGCCGGGACGTCGCGCGCGCTCAGCGTCCACATGCCGCGGCATATCGCGCACTTCCACAGCGTCGTCGAGCTCGACGCGAGCGCGGGGAACGGCGTCGTCGGCGACGCGCGCGGCGTTGCCCCGGTCGTCGTGGCGTGCGCTTCCCCCGACTCCCTCGCCCCCAACCAGTACCGGCGCGGCGTCGCCGCGGCGTTCGCGTCGTGCCACGTCGTGAACGGCATGCGCCGCGTCTTCGGCGTCGTCCGCGCCGCGGCCGTCGGGAGTGCGCGGCGGCCGTCGGGAGTGTGCGGCGGCGGCGGCGGCGACGACGACGCGCGAGGCCGAATCCGAAAACCGACCGAAGCTTATTAGGCTCGTTCCACCGTTTTTCACCCACCGCTCGGTTTCAACATTTGATCGCGTCCCCTTTCAACGGACCGATGAACTGTTTCGTCGGAATCGCCCGAGGGAACTACAGAAGACAGAAGCCGACGTCGTCGACGTCGTCGACGTCACAGCTTCCGCGCCCGCCCCCGACGACGCGCGCGGCGATGGCGTCGCTCGCCGCGGTCGTCGCGCTTCGCGGCGCCGCGCCGAGGCCGCCGCCGCCGCCGCCCTCCCCGCGCGCGCGCAGCATCACGCGCCGCGCGTCGTCCGCGGCGTCCGCGTCGACGTCATCGCGGGGCGACATCGCCGCGGTGCCGAGCAGCTGCGGCGACAACGATCGGCGGCGTTCCGTTCGCAGATGGCCGCGTCGTCTCCTCTGCGCGGATCCCCCGCGAAGCGTCGCGCCGTGGCGGCGGCGGTATAGAGACGACGCGGCGTCGTCGCGAAGGATATCGCATTCGCCGCCGCCCACCGCGCTGAAGCGCGCGGGACCGTCCACGCCCAAGCCGCACTACGACGACTCGCCCGTCGATCGCTTCTTCCTGAAGCTCTTCAACGCGCGCCTCGCCGCGGAGCTCGGCGACGACGTTCGCGGCGCCGTCACGGGCGACTACGACGACGTCGTGGCGCGATGCGTGCGGCTCGTGTCCGAGGCGCCGAACGCGGCGGAGGCGAAAGCGCGCGGCGGTCGCGTGCTGCGGAGTTTGCTGCCGCCGGGGACGGCGCCGGCGCTGCGGTTCGCGTTCGGGCTGTTTCCGGGGTGGTTCGTCGCGCGGCACGCCGCGGCGGTGACGCCGTACTTGCTGCCGTGGCTCGTCGGGAAAGGGCGGGTGATCGACGCGCCGGAAGATCTGATGGTGGACGACGCGAGCTCGCCGCCGGGGAACGCGTTCGAGGCTCTGAAGCGCATGAACGGGGAGCGCGCCGACGACCGAAAAAACCGAAGAAACCAAAAAAACCAAAACGTCCCCCCGGGGTACAAGCAGGGCGTGCTGCTCGAGCGCTGCCGCGTCCTCGAGGAGTCCGGCTGCGCGGGCGTGTGTCTGAACGTGTGCAAGCTCCCGACGCAGCAGTTCCTCGGCGAAGAGCTCGGTCTGCCCGTGACGCTCGCGCCGGATTACGAGACGTTCGAGTGTCGGTTTTTGTTCGGAAAGACGCCGCCGCCGCCCGAGTCGGACCCCGCGTTCGACACGCCGTGTTTCGGGCAGTGCCCGGTCGCGCGCGTCGCGGGGGACGCGCCGAGCTGCGACCGGCTGTCGCCGTTCGAGAGCGACGCCGGCGGCGGCGGGGGGGATTGAGGGATCGAGTAGAGGAGTAGATTCGTATGTAGCGCGGTTATTATCACGGTTCGTTTGACGACACGAGGTCGAAACGCGACCTCGCCTCGCCTCGTGGTCACGAGTCGTTTCGACGTCGCCGCGCCGCGCCGGGGGACGCGTCGTCACTCCGCGCCGCACCTCCCGCCGTGGCCATGCGCGCCGCCGTCTTCTCTCCCGTCGTCGTCCTCCTCTTCGCCGCGTCCGTCGCGCCGCGCGTCTCCGCGGGAGGCGTCGACGCGCAGGGCGCCGCGACGCCGCCGCCGCCGCTCGAGGGCGTCCGACTCAACGTCCCCATCCCCGTCGTGCCCGACGTCGAGGTCTTCACGCCGTCGTCGTACTCCCCGACCGGCGCGAAGAAGCCGCTCCTCGTGTTCCTGCACGGGTTCTGCCTCCCGGACGCGGAGCAGCAGGAGTACTCGTTCACGGGGAGTCGCGCGAGCGCGACGACCCCGCCGCGGCAGCAGACGCTCTCGCAGGTGGGTCTCCGAGACCTCGTCGAGACGGAAGACTTCGTGTACGTCACCCCGACCGCGCCGCACGCGACGCGATACTGCGCGCTGTGTAACGTCGGCGAGGACTCTCCGAACGTCGGCGACCGGCTCACGGTGCGATGGATCAACTCGACGCTGGCGCGAACCGCGCCCGCGTTCGCGTGCCCGGCGTGGGACGGCAGCGACGCGTGCTGCAACCCCGAGCTGGGCGGACGCGGCGACGACGCGTCGTTCGTGAAAGCCGTCGTCGACGCCGTCGTCGACCGATACGCGATCGACACGTCGCGCATTTACCTCATGGGGATCGCGACCGGAGGGTTCATGGCAAACAGGATGGCGTGCGAGTACGCGGACGTGTTCGCCGGCGTCGCGACGTTCGCGGGGGGCGTGTGGGCGGACGCGGATAAGTGCGTCGCCGGCGGCGGCGGAGAGAACGGCGTCACGAACGTCCTTAACGTCCACGGCGACGGCGATCTGACCGTCCCGATCGGCGGCGGGGTCAACTTCGCGGGCGTGCCGTTCCCGTCCGCGGATCAGACCGTGGACACGTTCGCGCGAAAGTTTGGATGCGACGCGTTGCCGAGAGAGGTAGCCGCCGCGGACGACGGCGACGACTTCTCGCTGCCGAGCGACGGAAGGCGAGACGTCGACGTGAGCGTCACGAAGTTCGAAGGCTGCGGCGCTGACGGCGCGTACGTCGTCGAGCAGTGGACGCTCGCGGGCGTGGATCACTTCATGCAAGAGAAGACGTCGCGAGGGGTGTTCAAGGCTGTCGTTCAGTGGTTGACGTCCAAGCGTCGCGCGCCGTGAGCAGCGTCGACTTCGACTACAGTGCGTACGCGTATTCGGCGCTCTCGCGATTTACGATACTTGTACAGTACCGATGCGCACGACCTACGACTCGATTTAATCTACAGTACAGTACTAATTCTGCGGCGTCCACGTCTCGATCGGGCCTTTGCTCTCCGGGTACACGTCGTCTCCCGCGGTCATGCTCCTCCCCCCGGGCGTGGTGAGAAACTTACTGTACGCGGGCGTTTCCTCCATGCTCCCGCCTCCGCCGCGGCTGTTCTCGTCGCCGCCGCCTCCATCGCCCTCGTCCCCGCTCCACTGCCCGCCCGCGGTTTTCAACAGCGCCGCGCCGTTGACCCTGACTTGCACGCTTCGAACCATCTTGATCCCACCGTCCGTGACCGTGATCCTCACCGGTCGCACGGTCACCTCTTCTTTTTCTTTTTTGTCCTTGCCGTCTCTCTCTTCCTCCTCCGCCGCGCCGTCCGCGCCGTCGCTCTCGTCGTCGTCGTCTTCCAAATACCCAGTCTGCGCGGGCAACGTGATCAGTATGGTCTCTCCCGTCGCGGGTATCCTATCGAAGCAGTCGCACGTGAACCCGCCCACGGTGTCGTACAACGCGCTCGAGGGAATGTCCACCCCCAACGCGTCTCCGAGGTCGCTCACTTGCGCCCTGTAGTCCACGTCGTAGACGTCCGTTTGGCCCTTCACCGCCCTGACGTAATCGCTGCTCGCGGGCTCTCTGTCGTCCGTCTCGTCGTAAATCTCCCCGACGATCTCCTCGACGCAGTCCTCGAACGTCGCGATCCCGATCGTCCCGCCGAACTCGTTCACGACGATGCACATGTGCGTCTTGCGCGCTAATAATTCGCGCATCAACTTCACCACGCTCATGGACTCCGGGACGTAAAACGGCGGCTTTTGCGTGAGTCCCTCCACGGAAACCTTGGACAGCATCTCCGCACCCATGTCGTACTCCAACAGTCGCATCGAGTACACCACCCCGACGATGTTATCGATCCTGTCGTTGTACACCGGCACGCGCGAGTACCGGTGCTCGCGCCAAATCTTTTGGAGCTCGTGCAGAGACGCGCTCTGGTCTACGCCGACGACGCGCACGAGCGGCGTCATCACCTCGCGCACGGGCGTCTCGGACATCTCGAGGACGTTCTGGATCATCTCGCTCTCGTCGCTGTCCACCTGCCCGCTCTTCGCGGCGCCGGATAAGACGAGCTTGAGCTCCTCTTCGGACACGAACGGCTCCGCGGAGCCGCGAATGCCGAAGAGCGAAAACACGAAATTCACCGCCCCCGCGCACACCCGTCCGAGCGGATACACAAAGTGCGATAACGTCGCGATGACCGGGATGACGACGCGCGCGACCGCGGCGGCGTGCTGCACCGCGATCGACTTGGGCGCGATCTCGCAGCAGACGAGGGTGACGAGCGTGAGCGCGAGCGTCATCGGTCCGACGCCGCCCTCGCCCCAGATGGTGAGCGCAGCCTCCGTCGCCACCGTCGCGCTCGCGATGCCGCTCACCGTGCTCCCTATGAGGATCGTGGTGAGGAACCGGTTGATGTCGCGGCGCAAGAGCGTGAACGGCGAGTCCGGGCCCTCTTGGTCGGAGATCTCGCGGACTTTCCACGGCCACAGCGTCGTGATGGCGGTCTCGGAGATGGCGAAGAAGGCGTAGACGACCAGGAGCGCGACCGTCGTCGCGATGAGCCGCGGGCCGTCGCCGAGCGCCGCCGCCGCCGCGATGGGGTCCATCGTCGCCGTCGCCGTCGCCGCCGCCGCCGTCGTCTCCGCGGCGGCTTTCGCGGCCGCGCGCGCCGCGGCCGCGGGCGCGCGCGCGCACGCGACGACGACCGCGGCGACGAACGCGGCGAGGATTCGCGCCGCGGTCGCGAGCCACGCCGCGAGCGGCGGATTGGCGGACGGCGGCTCCCTCGCGGGAGGCGGCGCGCCGCGCGACGACGACGCCGCGACGGCGACGACGGCGACGCGGGGTCGAAGGACGACGCGCCGCGGCGACGCGCGGCGCTCGGGGAGGCGCGGCGGTGGACCGAACGCCGCGCTCGACGCGCGCGTCGTCGTCGTCGTCGCCCGATTTGCCCTACACCCTGAAGCGCCGCGCGAACGTGATGAATTCTCGCCCGCGAACGCCGCGCTCGCGACGACGCCGGGGCGCCGCGCGCCGCGCGTCCACGTCGCGACGTCCGACCGCGCCGCTCGCGCGGAGACGCGCCGAGGCGTCAGCGCGGTCGGCGACGCGCGGAGTGCGGACGCGTGCGACATCGCGCGAGGGCGTGGGGGGCGCGAAGAGGAATGACGCGTCGAGCCGTCGACCCGGATGATGACGTCGCGCTCGAAACGACGCAAGCTGTTAACAACGCCGGCCGCTACCTCTAGCTCTAGCTCTACCTCTACCCTCTACCTCTACCCCGCAGCCGCGACCTCGCGCGCGAGCTCGACCACGCCGTCGCCGTCCGCGTCCTCCCCGCGCGCGACGTACCCGACGTAGCCGCGCTCCCCGCGCGCGGCGGCGAACCGCGCGCCGTCCGCCTTCCCCCTCGCCGCGCGCGCGACGGCGCCGCTCGGAAGCCGCCCGCGCTCGGTTCCGTCGTCGCCGTCGTCGCCGTCGTCGTCGTCGTCCCTCGCCGTCCCTCGCACGAGCGGCGCGGTCGCGAGCGCAAACCGCGCGAGCGCGTCGCCGCCCTCTCGCGTCGCCGAGGAGGTCCACACGCGTCCGCCGACGCCGTCCACCAACGCGGTGGCGTCCGCGCGCGTCGCCGTCGCCGTCGACGTCGACGGCGCGTCGCCGCCCCCTCCCCCTCCTCCGTCCCCCTCCTCCGTCCCCTCCCCGCCGCCGCCGCCGCCCGCGACGCATCGAGCCGCGGCGACGAGCGCGTCGTCGTCGATCCGACCCTCGCACGCGCGCGCGAGCTCGCGCAGACGATCGCGCGACGGCGTCGTTCCGT